TTTCCAGAGACTGTTTTAGAGCATAGGTATGTTAAGATGGTTGCATTAGAATTCAGTATAGCCAAGTTAGTATTTCTCTAGCTGTAGGGTGAGATACACCTATATTCAAATCATCTGTAGTTTGTGTTGAAAATTCAGATGCCAGAGTCCTATGAACTACAAATTCGGTGGTTCAAGTTCACCAACTTCTCCTCAGAAACCTTATGCAGGGTTGCTGTGAGTCAAAACCAACTTGATGGCACTTAATAGCAACAACAAAACCCTACTTTCTGAATTCCTAGTCCTAAAAGCAGGTACTAAAGAATTATACTAAAAGTTATTTACTTGCACACTAAAGTTTCAAAACACTAGTTCTGTGGAGATTTTAGACTATAGTATTCTTTATTAATCGGGGAGTGAATTAATGTCTTCACAATTAATCTGATCACACTGATGGCTGGAAAATGAGTCTAACTCTTGTTGGACATTGGGTAGATGACCCTGTTACTCGAATGGACTGCCATATAGACATAGACTCAGGTTGAACAAACTAGATAGATACAACAGTATAGTCCTGTGGAGAATACAATGAAATCCACTGGAACAGCACATTTCTTAATGAATAATATCTTTCTACAACATCATGAAACAGAAGGCAACAAAGATTAGTCTAGTGCTTTGTAGTCTGGGAAATACCATAAACATTCAGCTGAAAAGAAGGCCAAAAAAAAAAAAAAAAAATCAGCATGAATAACCCACAGTGCTACACCAGGACTCCATAATTAGGCAAGGGTCTCAAAAATAAAATTGATACAGTCTGCCTTTGCTATGTTTTTATTTTCTATTACGATTATTTCAGTGGCTTTGCACTGAAACTCAGACAAAGAAAAGGAAGGTCTGCAGCTGATCATGTGTGTGTAATCCTGTTTATGAAGGGGTGGGGTGGGGAAATGAAACATCAAACAGAGCATGGTACATGCCATTTAAAAAAATAAGGGGAATAAACTAGAATTGTAATGACTGAATAGAGATGTTTTTTAAAACTATCATCCAAATTATTTGGTGCTGGCTGTTTAAATTCTATTCAAAAACTAAAAGAAGACACTTAGATCTATTTTCTCAAATAAGGTGAACCATTAGTAGCCATTTGGGAAACAGTAAATTTGGTATATAAATTTGATGACTTTGATTCCCTTTTGTTTATGGACAGGTAGAATCAGAGAAGGGTAAAATACTTGCTTTTGTGTAGAGAGCAAAGGTACAATGTGATTTTAAGACCAACCATTTGGAATATAATTTGGAATTGATATTTTAACTGTGAGCAACAGTCTCATTTGTATCATAACTTATTCTCAAATGTCCATGCTCATCACATCCTAACATTTAGAACTAAAAACTAATGACTGGTTGTGGATCCACCATTACTGCTACCACCTGACCTCTGTACTTACCAGATCCTCACCAGCAACACTATGATCACAGAACTCACCTCACAGTACTCCAATGAAGATTAAATGAATCGGTTACACATGTAGTAAACTACAAATCAGGATTGTTTGAAAAATAGTCGTTAGACAAAAATTTGAGTGTGGCATTTGATCCACCACTCGTCTGTCAGTTTGTTGTATTATGGTTTGCATGTTGCTGTGATGCTGGATGCTATGCATCTGGCATTTTAAATACCAGCAAGGTCACCCATGGGTAGATTTTAGTGGCGTTCCCAGACTAAGATAGACTAGGAAGAAGGAACGGCAGACTACTTCTGCATGATTAGCCATTGGAATTTTTATGAAGAGGAGCAAAACACTGTCAGCGTGCTGTAACATGAAAACAGTTTGAATAGCAGAGATACAGTGTCAGATATAATGCCAAAAGATGAGCCCCTGAGGTTGGAAAGCACTCAAATTACAACTGGGAAAGATTGACCTCTTCAAAGGAGAGTTGACCATAAAGACATTAATGCAAAGTTTTGAGACCGACATTTGCTGATGGGGACAACACAAAATGAAAAGAAACAGTTGCAAATATCTATTGATAATTAGAACAAGGAATGTAGAAAGTATGAATCGACTAAAATGAGAAGTTGTCAGAAATGAAATGGAACACATGAAGATGTAGATCCAGTTCTTAAAAAGAACTGGTAGTGGGCATTTTAAATCTGACTATCATGTGATTTACAAACATGAACAGACAGATTAAAGAGAAATGGCCTCATATTCATCGTCAAAAAGCATATTTCAAAATCTGTCTTGAAGTACTATACTGCTTGTGATAGGATAATATCCCTATGCCTAAAAGAAAACCAGTTAATACCACTGATTTCAATTTATGGACCAACCACGAAAGTCAGTGATAATGAAATTGAAGAAGTCTACCTACTTTTTCAGTCTGAAATTGGTAAAATATGTAATCAACATGCATTGATAATTACTGATGATTGGAATGCAGACGTTGGAAATGAAGAAGAAGAATCAGTAGATAGAAAACATGGCCTTGGTGATAGAAATGATGCTGGAGAACATGATGGCATTTTGCAAGACCAATGACTTATTCATTGCAAACACCTTTTTAAAACATAAAAGGAAACACCTTTTTTGTTTGGTTTCCTTTTAGGTTTTAAAAAACATTATGTTTTATGTTGTCTGGACATAACCAGATGGCATACACAGGAATCAAATGAATTGTGTACATGGGGAGAGACAGTGGAAAAACCAAATGTCATTAGTCACAACAGGGTCAAGGGCAGACTGTGGAACAGATTATCAATTGTTAATATGCTAGTTCAGGCTAAAGCTGAAGAAGATTAAAACAAGAGAGAAAGCATTACTTTGAATATAACCCACTGAATTTAGAGAACATTTCAAGAACTGAATTGATGCAGTAGATACTAATGACCTAAGACCAGAAGAGTTGTGGGATGACATCAAGAATATTATACAGGAAGGAAGCAAAAAGTAATGAAAAATACAAGAAAGAAAAAAGTACCAAAATGGATGCCAGCAGAGCCTCTGGAATTTGCTCTTAAGCTAGAGAAGATAAAATGAATAGAAGAAATGATGAAGTGAAGAAACTGAACAGAAAATTTCAAAGGGCAGCTCAAATAAAGAAAACAAAAAAAAAGTAAGTTGTTATAATGAAATAGGCAAATGCATAAAGATACTTGGTTAAAAACCAAAAGGGAAGTGCACCCTCAGCATTTCTTAAGCTGAAAGAACTAACTGAAGAAAAAAATGCAAGCCTTAACTTAAAATATTGAAAAATTCTAAGGACCAAATATTGAATCATACAGAAATCATCAAAAGAAGATTGAAGGGATACACTGAGGTATAGGAAAGAAATGGTTGATGTTTAACCATTTCAAGAAGTAGTATATAATCAGGAGCTGGAGTTACTGTAGGAAGAAGTCCAAGCTCCACTGAGACATTGGCATAAAACATGGCTCCAGGAATTAATGGAATACAAGTCTTTTGACAAAGTGATACATCACTGGAGGTGCTCATTCATCTATGTCAAAAAATTTGGAAGAGAGCTACCTGAAGAGAAGATTTCAAATAACTGGAATATTTGTGCCCATTCCAAAGAAAAATGACCCAATAGAATGTGGAAATGATCAAACAATACCATTAATATCACATGTAAAATTTTGCTGAAGGTAATTCATAAATGATTGCAATGGTACACTGTCAGACATCAAGGTGGATTCAGAAGATTACATGGAATGAGGGATATTATTGCTGATGTGGGATGGATCCTGGCTGGAAGCAGAGATTGGTAGAAGGATGCTTGTCTTTGCTGTATTGACTATTCAAAGGCTTTCAACTGTGTGGATTATAGCGAACTATGGACAACATTGCAAAAAATGAGTATTGCAGAACATTTAATTTCACCCATGAGGAACCTATACATAGACGAAGAGTCAGTCTTTAGACCAGAACAAGGGAATACTAAGTGGTGTAAAGTCAGGAAAGGTATGCACAGAGTTGTATCCTTTTGCCATAATTATTCAGTCTGTTTGTTGAATGAATAACCAGAGAAGCTGGATTAAATGAAGAAAAACATGGCATCAGAACTGGAGGAAGACTCATTAACAACCTATGATATGCAGATCATTCAACCTTGCTTGCAGAATACGAAGAGGACTTAAAATACTTACTGAAGAAGATAAAAGACGGCAGCCTTCAGTATAGATTGCACAAAAATCCTCATACGTGGACCAGTAAATAACATCGTGATAAGTGCAGAAACCATTGAAGTTGCCAAAGACATCATTTTGCTTGTATTCGTACTCAACACTCATGGGAGCAGCAGTCAGGAAATCAAAGGAAGTAATGCATTAGACAAATCTGTTAAAAATAACTCTTTAAACTTTAAAAAAAAAACAAAGATATCAGTTTGAGGACTAAGGTGCACCTGACATAAGCAATATTATCTTCAACTGCTACATGTACATGTGAAAGTTGCACAACGAATAAGGAAGAATCAATGCAGTTGAATCATGGTGTTGAAGAAGAATATGAAAATTACCATTGACTGTCAGAAGAACAAACAAATCTCTCATGGAAGAAGTAGAACTTGAATACTCCTTAGAAGTTAGAATGGTGAGACCTAGTCACTCATATTTTGAGCATGTTATAAGGAAGGGACCATTCCCAAGAGAAGGACATTATGCTGGGTAAAATGGAGAGTCAGTGAAAAAGAGGAAGACTCCCCTCTATGAGGTTCATTGACACAGTGGCAAAAACAATGGGTTGAAATGTAACAATAATTGTGAGGATGTTGCAGGAGCAGGTAGTGTTTCATTCTGTTGTGGATTAAGTCCCTATGATTTGGGACTAACTCATTGACACCTAACATGGTCTTTGATAAAAAATACCAAAATGTATGTTTTCTGTGTAAATGTGATTACTTATGTTTGAGAGCAAATCTACTCTAACTCCAAATAGTTTATGACATTTATTTTAAGACATTTATTCAATAATTGTGTTTACTCCTGTTTCATCTTTTCCCTGCTCTCTCTTCAGTCTCTGTTAAGCATCCGTGGCTCCCTGTTTTCACCAAGACGCAACAGCAAAACAAGCATTTTCAGCTTCAGGGGTCGTGCAAAGGATGTCGGTTCTGAAAATGATTTTGCTGATGATGAGCACAGCACATTTGAAGAGAGTGAGAGCAGGAGAGATTCCCTGTTTGTGCCGCACAGACATGGAGAGCGACGCAACAGTAACGTTAGTCAGGCCAGTATGTCATCCAGGATGGTGCCAGGGCTTCCAGCAAATGGGAAGATGCACAGCACTGTGGATTGCAATGGTGTGGTTTCCTTGGTGGGTGGACCGTCAGCCCTAACGTCACCTACTGGACAACTTCCACCAGAGGTGATAATAGATAAACTAGCTACTAATGACATTATACACAAATTTGAAATATGCAAAGCTTGGGCTGTTTAGCCTGTCATACCGAACTGTTTCCCTAAAATGAAATTCCTTGAAAATAATACATGATTAATTGAGTAGAAATCAATTGAGTGACTCGAATTGTGTGGGACCTTAAAATTTCACATGCTTCAGTTTAAAAGGGCTCAATGTCTGGGATGAAACCTATTATCTGTAAATTCCATAGTCCAATCAGAACAAAACTATGGGCACTTTGACAACTAAATCTTTACAACAATTGAGTGTTCACCCAGAGTAGTGAAATTATCTATTTATAGTCTGTAAAATTTCGTATACATAAATTGTATAATCACCAAAATATTAATAATGGACAGTTTTAATGCAACTGTCTATTACAGTGCTATTTTTAAATGGCTTTTGTGATTTCTAATAGGAAGAAAAATAGAAATAAAAGAAATCTCGGGAAAGCACACACATTTCATTGTACACCTGTGTTTGTGCATGGAAAAAAAATTGACCTTTATGTCAATACTCTCAATATAACCTCAAAATATTTCAGCCTTGGGACTCTGTATTCATTTTTTTTTTGTTGCTGTTTTTTGGGGAAATTATACAGATGATTAATCACTGACATAATCTGTAAAAATAATTTATATTTGAATGAAAATAAAGTAATATATGATTTTAGCATGTTTATGGAGAATGTCCCTGAAAATTATAACGGGTTACCGAAAATATTTTTGTAATGTGATTGTCCTATACAATTGCATCCAACAGGTGGATCTTTGTTAAAAAGATATCACCTGTGGTTATGGCTACTTTGTAAAGCATATATAACAAATTAAAATCATTACCTTATTACTTGAAATTGTTACCTGAAAAAGTTGCATGCAGCATGATTTTCCAAAGAGATGCTGTGTGGTGTACTAGTCATTGAAGAGGGTGGTTTGAGCCATCAGTATTTGGTTTGCAGGGTACCACTACTGAAACAGAAATGAGAAAGAGAAGGCTAAGTTCTTACCAGATTTCACTGGAGATGCTAGAAGATTCATCTGGAAGGCAAAGAGCCATGAGCATAGCCAGCATCCTCACTAACACAATGGAGGGTAAGTACCAGACCATGGAACAGGCAGTACTCTATGATTGTTTTACTAAAGTAAGGTTCTTGGAACTTCACTTCTTCGCCTAGAATTACTCAACTCAATTACCCAAGGCAAAAAAAAAAAAAAAGTTTCATAAGAATGTGAAAGCCATCTTACAATTGAGACCCAAGATCAGAATTATAGAACAGAATTATACATATATAAGGAGCTCTGGTAGCATAGTGGTCACGAATCGGGCTGCGAACCTTAAGGTCAGCGGTTTGAAACCATCAGCTGCTCCGCGGGAGAAAGATCAGGCTTTCTACTCCAGTAAAGATTTACACCCTCGGAAACCCTGTACAGGGTCGCTATGGGTTGAAACTGACTCGACGGCACTTAACAACAACAACAATATATAACAGGTATCTATGAACTACCTTATTCATACTTTGATTATAAAAATGAATGTTGGACTTCCTTCTAAACTTGGTTCTGTGTTTGTCTATAGAGTCATAATCCACTGTTGTTGTTAGTTGCCATCAAGTTGATTCTAACTCATGGAGACCTCATATGTGCACAATAGAATGGTTCCACAAGATTTTCAAAGCTGGAACCTTTCAGAAGCAGATCACCAGGGCTGTCTTCCAAGGTGCATTTGGGTAGATTTGAACCACCAATCTTTCAGGTAGTAATGGATCACTTAACCACTTGACCCACTGAAGAACTCCATGAGGATTTATTCTTATATTACAGTATATTTAAGCAATTAAAGTAAATACTTTCTTTTAAAGCAGAAACAAACATAATTTTCAGGCTTTAGATTGTGTTCTTCAGGCATGGAAGTGGTATTGGGGGATGAAAGAATGGTAAGAATGAGTTCGATAAACCATAACCTGTGCTCCACTCTCACAGGGAACCTAAAAGAAGGCTTCTCCCTTTCCATGTTCCAGACACACAACAAACAATACTTTCCTTTAAAGGACATCTAACACAAACACTTATTGTCTTTGTCACACAGGAATGGGCTGCAACTGTTACTCTCCTGGTTATTCATTGAACAAATCCCCACTTGGTCTTAAAAGCTTGCCAGTGGTCATCTAAGGTGCAACTATTTGCTGCTCTTTGGAGCAAGGTAGAGTTTTTAAAACAGTCAAACACTCAAGGAAACAATAGTACCAAGAACTAATGAGTCAAATAAACCTCTACTACCCTGGCACTGTGGGTTAATGCACCAGACTGCAAATCCATTTGAACTGCAAGGTTGGTGGTTCAAGCTCACCAGCTGCTCCTTAGAAATCCTATACAGGGTCGCTATGGGTCAAACCGACTTAATGACACTTAACAACAACAACATCCCTTGCACTGTGGGTTAATGCACAAGAGTGCAAAACCGTTTAAACTGCAAGGTAGGTGATTCAAACTCACCAGCTGCTCTTTGGAAACCCTATACAGGGCCGCTATGGGTCAGAATTGACTCGTCAGCCCTCAACAACAACAACAACCTTAAAACCAAAAGAACTGTGCCAGCCTACCACTACCAACCACTCTACCCAAGATCACTATAGAAGGTCCTGGATAGAGTTGGTGAAAATTTGAACAAGACTCAAAATCATGTTGGTCTGAAGGAGACTGGTGGAACCCCCAAAACTATGCCACATAGACACTTTTTAAGTCTGAAATGAATTTATCTTATAGATCAACTTTAAACAAACAAGAGACAAGTCTGGTAAGTAAACAACAATGCCAGGGAGTGTTTTTAGAACAATCAAAGGAAACCAAAAGGGCAGAATTTGCCAAAAAATAAAGCTTAGAAGGCAGGAAGGGGCAGGAGAGAAAGATGATGTAAGCAGGTACTACAAGGAAGTGGAAAGAGCACTTATACTGCATGGATTGTAACCAATGTCATGAAGTAAAATGTCCATAAATTATTGAATGGGAAACTAATTTGCTCTGTAAATTTTCACTCAAATTGCAGTAAAAAAAAAAAAGTTAAAATAAACAAACTACCCCCCACTCTTTAAAGTCTGGAGGGATCTTTAGTACCTTACTACTATAATTTTATAATTCGATGTGTAAGTCTATTATATGTTCTTCAGAAAACAACTACATTTTGTCTTTGCTTTATTGGATTTTGAACATCTGAGTAGTAGCATAATAAATATTTTGTAACAGGCTTTATCTGTCAAAGTTACTAGTGACTTTTATGTATCCTAGGCTAAAATTCTATAAATATAAATATGAATTATAGATGTAGATTTTGGTCTGAATCTCTACTAAGAAAGAAGGGCATACTACATTCTCTTTGAACACAAGATCTTTGTTGATGTGGAGACAGTGAGCGAACAGAGGGGTCTTAGGTACTAATAATAAGGAGCACAGATCTAAATAATATTTTAAAGATACTTTCAAAAGAAATAATAATTCTGTAATACATTTAATGTTTCTATAACACTTATTAAACAATTATGTTTTAGTAGAGAGAATGGAGCATTTTAATCAAGCGTTACCAAGTTAGCTATTTTGGGAGCAAATACTAAATTTCAAGTGCGTATTTTCAGTATTTCATGTCATTTTAATGGGCATTTTATGAAAGTATTTAATGATACTGTCTTCTCAAAGTATGTCAAGCTAAGTAGTATGTCTATGCGCAAATATAATGATCAGTTTTATCAAATAAAGTATAATCTGCTAGCAGTAGTAATTCATATTTGTTACTTAATATTGTCCTCTTTGTTATGCCCCCAGAACTTGAAGAATCTAGACAAAAATGTCCACCATGCTGGTACAGATTTGCCAATGTGTTCTTGATCTGGGACTGCTGTGAAGCATGGTTAAAAGTAAAGCATCTTATGAACTTAATTGTTATGGACCCATTTGTTGATCTTGCCATTACTATTTGCATTGTTTTAAATACCCTCTTTATGGCCATGGAGCACTATCCCATGACAGAACAATTCAGCAGTGTGTTAACAGTAGGAAACCTGGTAAGTTTAGTTGAATTTACTTAAATTGTTTTGGTAAAAAGTGGGGGAGATATTTCTATAATATGCATACTGTATTGAAGAAAAATAAGATATTTATTCTTCATGGGAAGAAACATCTATAGGAGCATTACAGAAATCTTAGCGTTCCGTCTAAACAATTGCTGGTATTAATGCTTGTTGTGGGGTCAGTATTAGTGCTGGCTGCTCATGGTGTCATATCAGTTGGTAAGCTTGTTAAAATCTTTACCTAATACCGTTAGGTTTCCAGAGAAACCAGGAGATCTAATTTTAGTCCCATCACCATGCTGTTCTGGTCTACACAGCACCAAAGAAATCGTGCCTATTTAACGATGACTCAAGCAATACTTTCTATACAGAAGAGAATACAGTTGATTCCAATGCAATTACCTAAAATATACCTCTGTGGCATTCATGTAGGAGAAGAAACAGTTGATAAAAATGCGTCTATACTTTGGGTTCAAATTACTTGAGCCTGGGAGTACATGTGCATGTGGACAAACTGATGAACATTTTCTCCTGAATCTTGATGAAGAAATTGAATTGGAAGAACAGGGAAGAAAAAGATTCCTCTGGTATATTAATCCAGACCTTTTGAATGAAATACAGAAACTGAACTCAAGCTGGCTTCAGGGGATAAATTTGATTCATGAAATAGAAGATAAAGGTGAACAACCAAACCATGTTAAAGGGTAATATGGCATTTGGGCTTTAATAATAACTTTAACCACAGATTTGGACGTAACCCAGACCTTCACTGCATCTATTTTTCTCTACATCAGAAAACTTGCTCACTCATTGCCTACTGGCTTTACGGCATATTATATCTGTATTGGAATAAAAGACTGATCTCTTGCTCACTTTCAGTTCAAAGGGACTCTGACATAGTTTGGGCCACATGCTCAACTCTGGTTTAATCAGCTATAGTAGGGCTTAGGGTCATATGAAAACATGGCAGTTCCTTGGTAATCACATAAGTGGAAAGGCAATTCCTAAAAGAAGAGGGTGGGGAGGGAATACAGACAGGAAAATGCACAAATGTCTCACAATGTCAATAAGCTACCTTAATTGTCAGCATTATTTGACTTAGCCAAACACCCAGTAGTAGTTTCTTCTTGATATTTTTCTTCATCTTCAGCACTTGAGAAAAGAGATATACATATGTATGCACGTATATTCCGATTGTTCTTTGATCTTTCAAGCCACTCTACTCTGTCTCCTTTTTTGGATTTCTCTCATGCTTATTAAGCCTCTGTTTTTCACTCAATGTTTTAACATCCTCAGCAACTCTAGGACTTATCTGCCCTAGTGGGATAAACCATGTTCCAACATTTTGTTTCCAATTGTTACACATCACTTCCTCAAGGATTACTTTAAACACAATATTTGCACAGTTGAAAGATTATCTTTCTCCCCAGTTTATTGAAAGTCTAACAAACTTCTAGTAATACATTCCAGACGCCAAATACACAGAGTTTATTGGCATTTTGAGTTATTTTTCTTTATTTCTTATATACAATTTCATATATAGACCTTTTATTTCTCCTTTCAAGGCATCTCTTTTAAATATAATAATTACTATTGAAATAATCATTCTATAATACTTTCCACTTAATATGCTGTCACTTAGCTAAATTATCTACTATCTAGAGTTATGATGCAATGCTCTTCTGTTTTTCAAGACTCAACATCTCTTATCCCAGCATTCTTTTATCAACTTATTGCCCATTGTTCACAAATTAGTCACCATTGGTCCCGTCAGAAGAAAATTGTTGCTGTACCACACAAATACCAAATGCATGTTTACATGTTTGAATGCAGAAAATTACTCCTCTTTTCACAGTTGTCTACATTCATATCTAGAATGTTGTGTCTCATCTCACGGGATATTTATTCTTCAGATTCCTCAAGGTTTAGCTCTTACCCAGTCTCTTGTAACATGACACCCACCCCACATTAAAATTCTTCTCTTAACTCCTAATGCATCTGTGAATAATATGTGGTTGAGTATTAAACATTTTCTATGTGTATCATAGTTTTTGGTTTTGAATCCACTACTCAATGGCCATAGCTCAATTTTCTTCCATGTCTTCTATGACGCTTTACGCGGCCAACCCAACTTGCTTGTTGTTTCCTGCCTAAAATGGCTGCGTTAGTTAACGGATTTTAATGAAAAAACATAGACGTTGGATTTAGGTAGAGCTGGCTTTAATATCAGCTACTAGAACTTACTAATGTTGTAGTCTCTGAACAAGTGTCATAAACAATCTTGATCTTTATGTTTTTATTATTAAAACAGGTAAACTAATACCCACCTCCCACAGTTGTTGTGAAAGTCAAATGAGGTAACATGAATACACCTAGAACCACGCCTGGCTTCTGATGTGCTCAGTAAAGAGTTTCCTTCCTGTTGCATGTGCTATTAACCTCTTGATCTTTCTTTGAAACATTTATGAAAAATATTTCTGCCCTAGCTCTTTTATTTTTCCTAGGATATTGGATAATTAGGGAAGTCGAGCAGGTGAAGGAAGAAGTTTTGGAAATTGGCAGAGTAAAAGCAGGAAATTAAACCATTAGGGAATTCCAATGTTGTAGAATTTGAGTATGGAAGCAAAGGATAAGAGTTTGAATTAGAGGAAAATCAGTGGAAAAACACTAGACTAAATCAACTCTGGGCCCAAGACCAGGTGCTCATGCCAAATATCTGTGTGATCTTTATAATCCTAGTTCTTAGGTCTGTTTTCTCACAAGAACAATAAATATGTTGGATTACATGACTTCTGATGTACATCCCAATATTAAATTTCTATGACTTTATGGGCAGTGACAAAAACAATCAGATAGGAAAGTGCAGAGGCGGATTGATGACTGGGAAATTGTGATAGACCCATCTGTAAATTCAGGTGAGTAGTGAGGAAATGAGAAAGCACATAGGTGACAGGGAATACCTTGAGTTTTCTACCTGTAGCCACAAGAATAGTAGACTATGTAAACTCTTATTTGGCTGAAAAACCTCATTAATAATAATGAAAATGATAGCAATAGTAATATCTGTATTAACAAATTATTCCATTGTTTACTAAGTAATATCCCACATAGTATCTTATTTGATATTAATGGCAACCTTTGTAGAAAATATTTATATATATGTAAAATAATAATTACATTACATTGTTATTGTTCTTGTTGTTAAGTGCTGTAGAGTATGCTCCAGCCAATAGAGACTCGGCATAGGTTTTCTGAGGAGCTGGTGAGCTTGAACTGCCAACCTTGCAGTTTAAACCAACTTTGCAGCTCAGAGCATTAATCCACAGTGCCACACCAGGACTTCTATATGTAATGTATCACCACTCATTTGTCAGTTTGTCATACTCTGGTGGTTTGCATATTGCTGTGATTTTGAAAGCTATGCCACTGGTACTTTAAATACCAAGCAGCTTCAACCATGGTGGACAGGTTTCAGCTGAGCTTCCAGATTAAGACAGACTAGGAAGAAGCGAGATGGACTACTTCCAAATATTTAGTCACTGAAAACCTTATGAATAGTAGTAGAACACTGTCAGCTCTAGAGTATTGAATATGAAAACATGACGGAGAACACAGGAATACTGTCAGATATAGAGCCAGAAGATAAGCCCCTTAAATTGGAAGGCACTCAAAATACAACTGGGGTAGAGCTACCTCCTCAAAGTAGAGTTGCCCGTGATGATGTAAAAGGAGTAAAGCTCATTAATTTGGGATTTTCATTTTTTGATGAGGCACAACTCAAAATGAGAAGAAACGGCTATAAACATCCATTAATAATCAGAATATAAAATGTACGAAGTATGAATCTAGGAAAATTGAAAGTTGTGAAAATGAAAATAGAATGTATGATCATTGACATCTAGGCATTGGTGAGCTGCAATGGATTAGCACTGGTGGTTTTGAACCTGGTAATTACATGGTTTACTTGCCAGAATGCTAAACTGAAGAGGAATGGTTTCACATTATTATCAAAAAGAAATTTCAAGATTCATCTTGAAGTACAAAATTTTCTGTGATAGGATAATATTCATATACTTACAAGGAAGAACAGTTAATACAGCTATTATTCAAATTTACATACCAACCACTAAAGCCAGTGATGATGAAATTGAAGAATTCTATTGACTTCTTCAGTTTGAAGCTGATCAAACATGCATTCAAGATGTGTTAGAAATAACTGATGATTAGAATACAAAGATTGGAAACCAAGAGGAATGATCAGTTGTTTGAAAATGTGGCCTTGGTGATAGGAACAATTCTGGAAATCACATGATAGAATTTTGCAAGACTAATGTCTTCATTACAGATACCTTTTTAAACAACATAAGTGATGATTACACATATGGACCTCACACAGAAATCAAGTTGAGTAAATATGTGGAAAGAGATGGTGGAAATGCACTGTATCATTAGTCAAAACAAGTCCAGGGGCAGACTATGGTACAGATCATTAATTCCTCATAAGCAAATTCAGGCTGAAGCTGAAGAAAATTAAAATAAGTCCATGAGAGACAAAATATGACCATGAAAAATCAAACCTGAATTTAGAGATCATCTCAAAAACAGATTTGATGCGTAGACACTGACGACTGAAAACTAGAAGAGTTGTGGAATGACATCAAGAACATCATAGAGGAAGAAAGCAGAAGGCCATTAAGAAGACAAGAAAGAAGAAAAAGACCAAATATGATGTCAGAAGAGACAGAAACTTGCTCTTAAGCATAGAGAGACTAAAGCAAATGTACAAAAAGAAGAGATAAAATAGCTGAATAGAAAATTTCAAAGGGCAGCTTGAGAAGACAAAGTCAAATATTATAATGAAATGTGCAAAGACCAAGAGTTAGAAAACTAAAAAGGAAGAACATGCTCAACTATTCTCAAACTGAAAGAACTGAAGTGAAAATTAAAGTTTTGACTTGAAATATTGTAGTGTTCTATGGCAAAGTATTGAATGA